AATAGTTCTATTAACTTCCTAAAGAGTTATTTTGAATGAGACCCAAATACACACTTATCCTTTTTAATATGAACTGTATTCTTGAAGATAGTCAATCAAAGATGATTTTCTCAAAGTGACCTCAATGTACAAATAGTAAGAGCGAAAAATGGAGCACAGGATGAAAAGGTTGGGAGCTGAAAAGATTTGTATTTCAACATTTATTAGCATCTCTTTAACGAACATATGATGATCACAAATGTTAGTTTAAATCAGGCTGAAGATTGGCTGAGTCTTTTCTAAAATGAACCATTAAAATTCAGAAATAAAAGTGACCAAGGAAAACACCTCATTTAAAATCTCTCTCTCACAGATAAATAAACTGGCAAGAGAATTAAATATATTTCTTAAGGAAGTTTACATGATCAGCTAGGGCTAAAACCAGAATTGAAATTCCTGACTTTATTTTCAGAAATTTGAGATAGTGTAAATAAAGATTTCCAAGTTAACATTAAAATTTGAAGTATGTAATTGTCTAAAATTCTTAGATAAATAATTATATAGCAGATTATGAAATTTATGGTGCATAATAAAATATGAAAAAAATAGAACCAAAAAGTACAGTGTAGAAATTAGATTAAAATAATCAGGAAATTTAGAAGTGCTGTTATTTTTTGAAGTGTTTTATTGAAATATCCGGAAAGGAAAAAAAAAAAAGAATAATATGTCTTCTTTTTGTCTTTTTGACCTGCCAAAACTGAACTCAAATACATCTCAGTTTATCCATTTCTGGCAAATAATTTAAAGGCCAAGAATACTCCCAAACCCCTTTGTTTCTTCTTTTTTTCCTGACTTTCTAAGCTAAACTATTACAGCTGAGTAGGGTTCATGTAGTATATTTTAAAGGATTTACTTTTCTGAGTGTGATTTAGAGAAGATGAAATTTGCATCATCCAAGTAAACTGAATTTTAGGTACATATGCTCTAACTTAAAAAAAAAGTTAATAGATAATGAATCTGTTTGGGTAGTCTGTAATTCAGGGACCTAATGTGTCAAGGAAGAAACAAGTCATTTGCATTAGGAAATGAAGTACTACTAGGGTCAATCATCTAAGATTTTTAACAGAAGCCTGAACTCGGACTGCATCTTAGATCCTGAGGAATGTAAAACAGTCATATAATTCCAACCAATTAGTGATGTGTAGAAAGTACTCTGTATCACACTTTTTTCTCTTAAACTGAACAGATATTTTTATATCATCTGGACATAATCTCAATCTCTCAAATGGGTCTATACTTTTGAATTCTGTCTGTATTTTTATTATAATTTTGAATTGAAAATCTGACAGTCTTTCCCCTGGAATTGGTTTCTATCTCCCTTCTTCTGATCATACTTGTCAACTTCTCATCACTTATGATATGTAATTTAAATTTTCAGTGTTCCCATGTACCTTTTATAATATTTTTTTTCTGATAACTAGAACATTTTAGAGCTGGAATAAACCTCAGAAGACATTTAATGTTTATGTTGTTAAGTCAAGTAAACAGAATCCTGCAGATATTCTCAGATTGCTTATGTCAGCTCAACTATTAGTAGAAGATTTTAGAAATAGGGCCAATTATTCATCAATAGAATTGTACCCCTTTGACTAAGAAACTTCTCAATTACTTTAATTTAATATGTCTCAAATTAAAGAAAAATGTTTTGCTTGACATAATATAGTAATTAGCACCCATAATTTCTCAAAATTTCTTGTGTTATAATTTGAGTATTTTCTAAAGACTTAATTGTCTGAATTTGTCATACAAAATTCTAATGTTTCAACAAAAACTGTTGTAAATTTTTAAGCAATTGTATGTCGTAAGTCTTATTTCAATATTGGTTTAAAGACTTATATAATAACCCTCAAATGCAGATAAATTTCTATTTAAAAACAATAACATTGAAATAGCTGAATTCCAGACCCTTCTTTTGAGTAAAGAATGCATTCAGTGAAATTGAATTTTTTCAATTACTAGAAATGATGACTATCCAGACAAGACAATTCTGACCAAATAGTTCACTTTGATGATTTGTTACCCGATTTTCTCACAACCAAATTACTTTGATAAATTCCAGTCTCCCATTTTGCTCCTTCATATGGAAACAGTCAAGAATCCCCAAAATGAAACTTGAGCATATTTGTTAATAGTGTGCATAGGGGTGAACAGAGTGATTGATGTGTGAAAATGAAGAACTTACCTTAGAGTAATTAAGTCATCTTCCCATAATAGGAAATATTTAATATAGATTTACATTCTTGGATTCTGTAGGTTGCAAGAATTGGAGTTAAGGAGTATTATGATAAACAAATCTACATTATTCTGGAATTATTTATTAGAAGCTAATTTACAAAAAAAAAAAAAAAAAAAAAAACAGTGAAGAATGGAAGGAGCTAGATTTCTGAGGTCAGGGTAGCTTAACATTTTAATAAAAGTGACTAAATGTTTGCAACTGAATATAAATGTGACTAAATTTCTTAAAATATGAATCTAAAAGAGTAAACAACACTTTCAACATGTTTATTAACATTTGTCTTTTGTAGTGTTCAGTCAGAATTTTTTTTTTATTTAATTTATAATCTCCTTAAACCTTCAATTTTAAAAAGTGAAAACTCTGAAGATGATATCCCAATGGAAAGTGAATCCATTCTCAGCATTATGTATCATATTAGTATTTATTTAGATGATGTTTGAATTTTAGCAATCCAAGTCAAGTATAAAGTGAATGGAGCAAACAAAAATGTACTATTAAAATTTAGGTGTAAAGGGTAGCATGTGAATTTTTAAGGAAATGATCTATGGATTCCACATCATCGATATTTCCCTCTTAATCCTATCTTATCTTGCAATAAATTAGATGTTTTGTTAAAAGCAAATACGTCACATGCAATAGCCAAGTAAATACTATATAAGGCCATCCAGATATGACAAATGACAGGATAATGGCATTTTGTTAATTCTGTAAAGATTATATTGCTGAGTGCTTTCAAAATTACCTAATGTACAAAATTCTAGACTTAGTAGACAAAGAGTAACAACACATTGGATTTAAAGAAACAAAACTCAGGGAGGGATTCTGTCTTCTTTTGTTTTGTTTTGTTAAAAATCATGTATCGAATTTAATTTTTAGTAAAGCAAGCATTACATAATGCTTCAAAATTTTAAAATTCGGGGATAAAAGTTTACATCCAAAAAGATGAATGGAAAATTGTGCTTTCAAACTGTAGAATTAGTTTTCTTACAGGGTTAACCATTTCATCTTGCCATTGGATACTGGGAATTTCATCTATGTGATGTATATTTATGTGCAGTTCATATCCAGGTTCTGCAAAAATCTAAAACTGTGTGCTTCACTTCATGTAGCAAAGGCACCTATGTTATTCTCCCTTTTGAGCAAAAGTTATGATCCAGTTTTCCTGTTGAAGATGATGTTTCCACTGCTATGTCACTCACACTCTCTGTGTTGAGCAGTCTGGTAAATCACAAGAGAAGGTGGTGGCGGATCCCTGCTTATACTGGAAGAAGTCTCTCTGTGGACCATCGGAAGAAGTTCTGGACTGATCACAAGGGAAACCGAGCAGAAGTGTGAAGCAGACGGACAGGAACAAAAGGCTATTCTGGTGTGAGGAGAAATCAGTCACTTCAGCTCCACAAGCAGATGTTGCTACTGGACTGACAAGTGGAACCTACCCCTGCTGGAGAAAGGTAAAGTTTGCCATTGGGGCAGACACAGAGTTCGTACACTGTCTGTCGAGAACTTGAGGAGCTGGTTGAAGAAGATGAATAGGAGCCGGTTGGTAGATTTCCCAGCCGGATGGTATCTGCATTTAAAAATATCTAGGGGGAAAAGAGATTTCATTTTAATTCATTTCAGCCTCCTCCATCCCCGAGAGCTTGCAACATGGTCTGATAAGAGAGACTGAACTACAGACAATTCTCCTGGTCTAGCTGCCATGCTTTGTTGAACAAACAAATTACATTCCTCCAGTATGGTCCAAACACTCTGCAGCTGTCTCCTCTTTTGAGAGCTGGTGCATTCTGACAGAAAGCCCTCAATCTGAAAAGTAATATTGTACAATCTGCTCAAGGGGCCCATCCAGTTTTTCAAACACCACGGAAAATTAATGATTTCAATAGTCTCTCAATTTAACTTCTTGATTTGGCATAGTATAAAGAATGTACAAAAAACCCAAAGATGTCAGTAAAGATGACATTACTGAAGAAATGGGCAATTGAGGAAAAAAGATACTTTCTGGTCTATTTTTAAAAATACTAAGAAAATCATGTTGTCTCATGTTCTAAAGTTACCTCAAGTAGATCATCAGCCCAATTAACAAGAGATAATTATTATGTAGAGTCAGAATTCAAGTTTCCATGAAATATATTACATGCATTTGAAACCCACTTTGCTGAATCTTTTTGCTTGGAAAATTATCTCACTATTCTTAATCATAGACTCCTACCTTCAGGGACAGCTGATTACATGCATCATATGGTTTTGACATGGTTGAGGAAAATTCCAAAGAAAGAAAAATTGAATCATGAATTTCAATGAACAAAGACACAACTCTCTCCATCAATTTCTTAATTCTATTGTTATGACCTGATTACTGCCTAACTGGCAGTCCTCCCTGTTCCCCTTTTGCCCTTATGGGAGTTTCATTCATTTCTTAATAGGACTCTTGCAATACCCGTTTAACTGGCCTTGTGACTCCATGACTCCATTCCTGTCCGTTTGTCATTGATCTTACTTACTGCTAGGGTATGTAATTTTTTTTTTTTTTGGTACTTGGGATTGAACTCAGGGGCACTCGAATACTGAGCTACATCCCCAGCCCTATTTTGTATTTTATTTAGAGACAGAGTCTCATTTGCTTAGTGCCTCACAATTGTTGCTGAGACTGGCTTTGAACTGTATTCTCCCTCTGAGTCTTCCTAGCCCCTCGGATTACAAGCCTCTACCACCATGCCTGGCTGCTAGGGCAAAGTTTTAAAAGATGCAAATCAAACCAGCCAAGCACTCACAACTCTCTAACAGTCTCCCAGAGACTTGCACTACCTGCCTAATCTCCTCAACACCATCTCCTGCAATTCTCCTTTCCCCACTTCTTGCACTTTCTCCAACATACCAAAAGTATTGACTTCAGAGCTATTTTACTCTTTATTTACTCAGTCTGAAATACTTTACAAAGGCTTATAAGTGGCGATAGATATAAACTGGGTGCCTGGGAACAAGGGTGGAGAGTGATTTCCAACACTGATCTTTTTATACTCAAAAAATTTTTGAATTGTGGGAATCTATTGAAAACTATAAATAATCCAGAAAAAGGATTACTATACTAAGGGCATAGATATTTCAGACTGGTTTAATTATAAATTTGTTCCAATGTTTGCTAAAAGGTCACCTCTGCACAAATTATTAACTGTATTAAAATAACACTAATCCATTAATCTTTACTTTACAACTGCTTGTTTCTATAGTAACAAAACTTTAATACTACTATATTAAGCTTATATTTGTTCATTCATTATTTCTTCTACTTGCAAGTTTGATCCATGAGGGTCAGGCCTGACTTTAGTTCATAGCTACAGATCAGGGCAAAGAACTGTACTAGTGTGTGCTGAGTGACATAATGTTCCTCCTTAACCTTAGAAGTGTCTCTCTTTTGTAGTGTACTAGTACACCCTCCATGAAAGCCAAGTTCATATGCTTTTTTTTCTTCAAGAATCTTCCTTGATAATCTAAGATGAACTGGCTCTTCTTATTTGACCATCGCATTGGAATTAATTATTTTTGGTATTTTATGGTGCTGGTCACTCAATATATCATTTTATTTATTTATTATACTTCTCCTACTAAACTATATCCTCCTTAGAGAAGTAGATTCATGGCTGATTTAAAAAAATATATGTTTTTGTAACTTCTCAGGATGTCTGACCTAGAAATACATTTTCACATAATATAAATAGCTATTGAATAAAGGAATGAATCATAAAATGAATGAATGGTGGCATTTACCAGCAGTGATTAAAGTTACGAAGTCACACTAAACATTTGTGAAATGTTAAAATACATTACTCCATATCTATGTCTGACTTGAAGGATAGGAAAGCAAAGAGATTGAAATGACTTCTGTTTTAATTTTTAAAGAAAATATCTGCTTTTCTGAAGCCAAAGTAATAAGTGCACAAAACTAAATAAAAAAGTGCAGAAAACATGGCTATCCACTTTGAAAGTGTGAGTGTTGGTCCTCATTTTTTCTTGCTCCATTTTTCCCTGCTGAGGGACATAAAGGAGTGAAACAAGAATTGTTACACATTTTGGGCTGGGCAGTGTTATTCCTCCACAGAGGAAGTGGGATGACTCCTTTCATTAGCTTACTTTGAGAGAGAGCAAATGGGTATTATTCAGTCCCTTTTCCTCAAAACTTTTTGTTTTATTATTTTTTTTATTTGTTCTAACTAGTTTTACATGACAGCAGAATGCTCTTTGATTCGTACACAAATGGAGAACAACTTTTCATTTCTCTGGTTGTACACAATGTAAAGTCACAAGCATGTACCTAAGGTAATAATGTCCATCACATTCCACCATCTTTCCTACCCCCATGCCCCCTCCACTCCACCCCCTTTGTCCTAATCAAAGTTTCTCCATTCTCCCCACAGCCCACCCCCATTATCGATTAGCATCCACTTATCAGAGAGAACATTCAGCCTTTGTTTTTTTTTTTGAGATTGGTTTACTTTGCTTAGCATGATATTCTCCAACTCCATTACTTACCTGCAAATGCCATAATTTTATTCTCTTCTAATGCTGAGTAATATTCCATTGTGCATATGTACCACAGTTTCATTATCCATTCCTCACAGCTTTTTAGAAATGGGTATGCTTGCCAAGACCAAACATTCTCAAGCTTTAAGAAGGCCAAAAATATTACAGGGGCAAGCTCCAGATCTGTGAGATTTAGGTCTGCGAATGTGGAGATGAGTTCATTTAGAAGAAATGAAACACCGTCTAGAAACACCACCTGGAGCTGGTTTTTAAGCCAAGACACTTTGAGATGTAGATAATAAGCTGAGGAATGAAGAAAGCTAAAGAACATGTAGAAAAGGAGGCTCATGTGGGATTGATAAAATTATTGCAAGATTCTGTGAATTGTGAATTCATTAGTAAATACTGATAATTAGTGTTGCTAGTTAGACCTGAGGGTTTGTAGGGGCTTGCTAACACCAAGCCATACCTCTGGCTTTTACATTTTTGGAACTAGTTGTTTCTTGAGTGGCTGTGGCCTGGGTGAATAAGTGCAGAGTAGTTGTTTCATAAGGTAAGGCTAAAGCTTGCAGGTGGCAGCCTCAGAAAGCAGGCATCAACTGTGGGCTTCGGCAGAGCAGTGAGCCTCGAAGGACTTGGCCCTGATGTGTGTAGGTTGCAGTGCAGCCACAGCAGAGATCTTTAGTACACACATTTAGGGGCTACTTAGGACAGTATCTGGCTATATGACAATCCTTCATTCCATATAACCTTCCGAGTTTCAAAATGTAGCTTTGCCCACATAAAGGAGATAGATTTTATAATCAATATATTCATTCATATGGAGCCCTTAGAAAGAAAAAACATTCTATTTTCTTGGTTTAAGATAGCAACATAAATCAAGAAGTAAGAAGGGCTGTTTCCCTTTGATTACTTTTGGCACAGTGTTCCTGAGCCTCTCCAGGTCACTGCAATGGGGGTGGGCTCAATCAGCACTTCCTGTTGTTCTAAGTAGTTACTATCATGTTCGTTTTCCAGTTCCTAAGAGTGATATGCCTATTCTATATTGCCCTATAAACCACAGAAGCCATTTGTTCTGAAACTCATCCTTGTTGTCAGAAGTGCATCCCTGAGTTTCAAAGTCATATCCCACCATCTTTTCTTTATCCAGAAAGAATTCACTCTCATCATTCTCACCTGTTGAAAGCAGACTTATCATTCTCAAAGTCTTGACCAATTTTCAAAATAAACAGTCTTCCTCAATGATCTGGATATGTTATTATACTGCATATTCTAGTATGCCACTTATAATACTCCATGTACAGTTATGATGCTTGTTTTTCTCAGGGATAAATCTAAATTCCTTGCAGCAGTCTGTTTGAAATTATTTTGAATATTCTCCAGTGAGGACTTCTATGTACAATTTCATCCTGTCTTTAATCCATTATTTTGAATGCCTGGCTATAATGTGTGTTCTGATATTAAGTAGTAAAAAAAAAATACTGTGTAAATGTAGGTACTTTATAACTTTCTATAATGTTTAGTAAGTGATTAATTTGTGGCATAGTTGATGTAGCAAAGAGAACTATTTTATATCATTTCATTTTTTATAGCAGAATTATTTGTTATTTTAATAATATAAAGTGAGGTATCTTTCTGTAACTTCATTTTATTAATATAAAATAAACCACAGATGAAAACCTTTGCCTACGATTTATTTATAGCATAATATTCAATTGACAGTTAAATGCTAACCTGTAATTGAATCAAAGCATTTTACTTACACATTGAATGAAAGAACACAAGTAAATGATTCATAAACAGGAGCATAACAGAGGTTAATAAACTCTGATATTTATTATGTGACATTCACTATGAATAATTTGAATGAATGGTTATATGACGAAGAGTAACTCTTTGAAAAGGAAGCAAGATATTTTAAAAATTATTTCTGTTTTGCTAAGCCTGACAAAATATCGTAGCCTGCAACTGCAATTTAAAAAAAATACCAAAAAGATATATAGATGTACTTTTTAAATGTTGAAGCATATTTATGGATTGTCTATGAGTGTTATCACTAAGTTGCTAACATGAACCTGCCAATAAGTTTGTTTATAAAAGGAAACAAAATATATAATTAAAATTTATCTTGAACTAGCAACTGAGAGAATGGCAGAAAGTTAAGATTCTATTAATTAATCATTCATCTGGAAAGGTGTGAAATGCCCAAGAGCATCTTCTTCAGATTATTTTTCCATTATTTTTCTTCTCAACTTGACCTTTGTAAGCTCATGTTAAAAAAAATAATAAGGAAACACATGAAGGAAGAAAAAACAAATATGCTAGAACAGCAATACAATAGATTTAGAACCTTAAGGACTTTGGGAATTGTAGTCAGAATATACAGTGTGGAATATAAATCATGTATAAGGACTTAAAATAATTAAGGTAGAATTGAAAATAAACCAACAAAAGAGCAACTGCCATGATGTCCAGGCAGCTTTGAAAAAGAACAGATGATAATTTTTGAAGAAAATAATAAATCTATACAATTAAAAGACCAAAAATATTTAATACTGGGAAGAATCTTGGGGATGAAGATCTGAATATATAAGCTGGATGAGGCCACAGGAAACCAAGAAAGAGAAACTGGGAACGAGCATCCAAAGTCTTCTAGTAGAATGAAGGGTATAAATTTCTTTAGAGTTTTAGGGAAAGACCACAGAGATAATGGGTGAGAGGTAATAGCTGAAGAGAGAATGCAGAGAAATTTCCAAAATTGACAAAAATGTAAATATGTGGAAACAATAATTACAATATGTATTTATAGCAATTCTAGCAATGACAACATATATGCATGTATGTGTACATGTAACATACATATGTAAATATGCATGTATGCTATATATAATATCCCACATTATAGTGGGTGGAGGTCATCAAACACAAAGGGTTATTTACACCAGGCTTGAGAATATGGATAATATTGAAAGTAATGACAAGACTTAAAGGAGACTCTTCAGGGCAGATAGTGGCATGGAAGAGAAATATTAACATGCGTGTCCTTATCCAAGAAATAAGAATCAAAACAAATAGTAAAATAATCTCTTATTTACCTTCTAGACAAATGTAGATGTTATTCCTACAGAAACAAAATGCTGATATCCAAAGTCCTCCTTGGAAGAAACTTTTTGGTTTTGTTTTTAATTTATTTTTAAATAATAAATAAAACCAGAAAAGTTGTACATGTTAATTGGATACTATGCAATGCTTGATACATGTAAACATTGTATAATGCATAAATCAGGATACTTACCAAGTATTTGTGCTCAGATATTTGTCATTTCTTTATGGTAAAAACTTTTATGATTCTTTCTCCTAGCTTTTTGAAATGCACTTTATTGTTACCTACACTCACCCTACCATGAAATAGAACACCCAAACTGCCTGCACCTAGATAATTAAAATGTAGTACCCATTGATCCTTCTTTGGAAAATTTTTTTGAAGACCAAAAGAGAACAAAGATAACAAAGACTGTCTTCATTCTTGATATCATCTTAATATTAATTATGTTTATGTGTTAATGGTGTAACTTAAAGAATTGAAATGCCCCATTTTAAATTGCCATGTGACTAAATATCTCAGTAGAAAATAAGTGGAGCTGTAACTTAAGAAAATAGTATTAGTTTTAGCAAGTTTCATGTTCAAGTATTAATATTTTCATATTTAAGCTTACTACTCCTGAAGCAGTTGTTTATGTCACACTGGAATCACATGCATAGATCCTGAGAACTCAGCAATAAATGGGTCAATGGCTCTCCTGGGGACTTACCTCCCCCTCTGTAGACTGTAAATGCAGCTCCTTCCTGCAGGTAGCCTTGAAGTCACCTGCAGCAGCGCTCACCTGGACCCCACGAGGAGCTTCCATAATCAAGGATCTGGTAGGTGATTCAAGCCTAAGGGAACAAAAAAATCATGAAAAAAACAAAAACAAAAAAAAAATTATTAACCCATTTATCCCATGTCTCAGATAAGCAACGGCTATAAAAACTTAAATTGATCAATGCATTCATCAGTTATAGCAACTTTGAAATAATTTTTATGTTTTTAGATGTCTATCCTTTTAAGAAAAGTACTATAAGAAATGCATTCATGAAATCATGTTCTAGAAATAGGCTGTCATTTCATTTCGAGAATGCACTGTATTTCAAATTACCAACAGTAGAAAATAGGACCCTAGGACAGCCGAATACTACATAGTAATGTACAATGCACTGACCAGATGTTCTGGGCAGCAGAAATGATGCCCACTTGCCCTCATTGTTCTGTGTATGAAATTCAGCTTTGTCCCTTTCTATCTTGCCTTGAGTTTTAAGAGGTTGACCTCTACACACCATGTCTATTTTGTATCCAATGTCCTATTTACACTACAGCTTATACATGTAAAATAGTCTGTATTGTCCCAGGGTCCTATGTATAGGGCTATTTGTAGTTTTATTCTCACTGATAATAACTGATATACGCACTGATCGTGATGAACATTTTCAAACTATTTTAATGCACCTGTGCCTTTGAACTAGTTGCATAATTGAGAACTTGGGACTTAATATTGACAAAAAAGAGGAAAATAGCAATGAACTTAGATTAGTCAACTGAGAACAAGCAACCAACCAAATAATGGGCAGGCACAGATACAAATCTTTGCCATTTCAAGCAAGGATTTAAACCCAAAATGAGTTTCAGAATGTTTTTTTATTGCCTTATATACTTTTTTGGCTCATTATACAATCTTCATTTGTTCATATCAATTATTTACTCTCATTTGTAATGATTTAGTAGCAATTTCTTATGTTGTTTCTCGGCTCACAAAAAGTAGGTCAAGACGAGTTTACATTATTAAATCTTTTATATATTATCAATATTAATGATGAAGTGTTAATAAATAAATTGGTACAATTTAGGATGTACGTATTCCTTAATAAAAAGTTCCAGCTTCACAAAGAAGAAAACTTGAGTGAAAATCATTAATGCTCTAACTTTGAAGAGTGTGCAGTAAAATTTTGTGAACTTGAAAACTTTTAAGGTACACATTTACCTCTAGAAATTAATTAAATAGTACATTTTTATATCAAATAATGTCTACTGGCCCAGTAAAATGTTCAAAGTGAGTAACATCAGCCTGAGAAAGAAAAAAACAATTGGGAGATAACACACAAAAGCCAGAAAACCGTGATAAAAGGTATGAGTTTCCTAGCCTAATAGAGATTTGTGTGTGTGTGTGTGTGTGTGTATGTGCAATGAAAATGGCTCTGAACTTTAACTAAAACATCATAAGGAAATCGAGAGCAGTGAGAATCTGTTGTTCATTTCACCCATTAAAGCAGTGCTTTTTAATTTACTGGATAGAGAAAATTTGGAGGAAAATCAACATATTGGTCTCAAAAATTCTCTGCTCTGCTCCCTGAGGCAAAGTTCAAGGTGATGGGGTATTTAATCTTTTGATGTTATAGGTTTGGGGGAGGGTAATGATTAATGTCTGAGAGTAACTGAGGACAAGAGTGCCAAAGAAGGAAACAGCAGTGACTTAAGGTGAAGGAAGTGAGAGAAGAAACTCTTAGCAAATGCCAACAGGCATCTAGCAAGCTTCCAATGAACAAATGCTTTAGCACAGTGTGAACCCTTTGGTACAATGACTCGAGCTCAGGGAAAAAGAACTAGATTGACTAATTGACTGGGCTTAGTTTTTGATATTTAGTACAATAGAGGTCAACGATAAAATTAGATTTTATAAGAATATTTTTGTTTCTTCTGAAACTAATTATTTTTTGGCTTAAGACATAACTGCTAAATACACATATATTAATGCATCACAGGGTAGATTAAAACATTATCAAAGTGGTAGCAATTTTGCAATATTGTCAAATTGCTCAAGTGCTGAAGTAATTAAGACTTTGAATTAAACAAGTTCCAATTTTATATCTTGTTAATCTTGATAAAACTAAATGTACTAATCATTAAGTAATAATATAATTGCTATGAAGTAGCACTATCTGTTTTGAATGATATCCAATATCCAGGAAAGTGATGTAAAAAAAAAATATATATATATATATATATATATATATATATATATATATATATATATATATATATAATTTAAAATTAATTTTGGAAAAAGTGTTCAGTAAAAAAGTGTTAAATAACAATTATTAGAACATTTGAAGAATTTCTTAATTCTATTTTCAAATGAACACATTGCAGTAGCCAAATATTTCTAGTGAATATGACAGTTAAAGCAAGATTATAAGTATTTTTATAAGCTTTCTTGACTATTGAATATAAAAAATATACTTTTTTCCCTGTGGGCAAAAGTCACTACAGGGCAATCATATATATGGAAATCAAAAACAAAACAACTTCTGATTGACATTATTTTGGACAGCAAAATTCATTGTGAACATTTACAGATGCATTATATGTCAATCATCCAATGCCAATGTTTATAATTGCATGATTACCTACATTTACACACACATGCACACGTTAATTATCTGGAGCTGAATATTGTCTCTAGGTATCCAGTGCTAAATAGGAAAAAAAGTCATTTCTTCCCACAAATTCTGTAGAAACTTTGCTGTATGCCTCCATCTAAACTCTAAGAGGGTTGAACTTCTTGCACTTTGACAATTAAAAAAAAATCATCTCTTTTTTTAAGTGCAAGCAATTCCATCACTCCTTTTTTAAAATATTTATTTTTTAGGTGTAGATAGACACAACACAATGCCTTTATTTTTATGTGGTGCTGAGGATGGAACCCGGGTCCCGCCCATGCGAGGCGAGTGCTCTGCCACAGAGCCACAATCCCAGCCCCTCCATCACTCTTTTAAAAGAGATTGCATTAAGGTATTCCTGTGATTACATTAACTAGGCAAAGAACAGTATAGAACAAATAGATCTAGATACAATGTTTAAAAGATCTAAAACAAAAATAAGCATTGTGCATTACTAGCCATGACAGCTTATCAAAATAGGTTGATAACTTTGTAATTATAAATTTCCTTGACTATTTTGTAAATAATATTTTCCCAAGACATTTATTAGAAACCATGTACTTCTAGAAGCTATATTATAAATTGGAGGAAAATAGAAAAGTGTCCTCTATATTGAAAGTGTTGCTCACAATATAAAGTAAGGCAAATTATTCCCAAGAAGTAGTCTGTGAAATCCAGGTATAAACTCACCGAAACTTAATTACTATGTGCAAGAGTTATGTCAATCTAATGAGAGAATTAAGTGTAGGAGTCTGAATAACTATTCATGAATTCTACTTCAAATTTTAAATCAGTTTAAATTATCCAGGGCTCAGTTATTCGAACAAATAAAATTATAGTCATAAAACACTTTAAAAATAGAATATTGCAGTCATAAGAAAATATTAAATTTATCTTCTTTGTTAGTTATCCATATAATTGCAATAATGTAAAAAAGCTAATGTTCATACTGAAAACTTATTCTGTACGTAAAACTCTGAATTGATGATCTCTTAATCATCACACTAATACTAAGAAGTGGACTCTCCAATTATCTATATTTTATCTACAAAGTACTTGAACATTAGGTTGTTTGGGTTTTTCTCAGGTTTATGAAGCTAGTGCAAAGATCCCAGGATTGCCAAAAAAAAGGTTGAAAAACAATGTTAGACAAGTAAAAAAACTTACAGCTATAGTAATCAAGATCATGCTGGCATAACAAAATAATGGAATAAAATAGCAGATAAATGGATTTTTACTTGTGTGGTCATCTGATTTTTGACAGAGGCCATAATGATGTTAGAATAACTAGAAATATCTTTGAATAAGATGATCCTCAATATCTATCACACATTATTGTCAAGAAAAATCTAAAACATAAGGCTTTGAAAGGAAAATATCTTTGTGAATTTGAAGTAGGAAAGATTATAATAAAAGTAAAAAAAAAGTAATAACTAGTAAATACCTTAAAATATAGCTTATGATTTCAATATTAAGAGCACTTTTTCAAAATAACCATTGATAATGTGAATATATAACAGAGAATAGGGAATAATATCCACAAAACACACATATATCACAAAAGACTGACATAAAGAAACAGAAATTATCCCCAACTCAAACATTTAAATATAAAAACACAAACATACTGTGAACAAAAGATTTGAACAAATTAAAATGATACATAGTTGTCCCATACACTTACATACATGAAAAAGTGATTAATATTAGTAGCCATCAGATAATGAACAGCTATAAATAGTACCAGTAAATATCCACTAGAAAGACTGATTAGCAAGATTGCTAACACGGCATATTGGTGAGGAAGAGCAGAAACTGAAAATTTTATCTTTTTTTGATGGAAAGGTAAGACTACAATCCTTTGGAGAATTTTGGCATTTTTACACAAAATTTAATATATGCAGAAATATACCATGTATGTCATTTACAAATGCACACACAAATATTTAATATTCATATAATGGAACATTGATCAACAATAATTAAGAAAGATGTATCTATGCAAATAGGATCAAGGACAGATGTCAAAGATAAGTGGTGTAAATGAAATTTTACAAAGAAAAGTACATATTGCTTGATTGATTTATTTTTAGTATTAAACAAAGCTAATCCATGATTTAAGAAAAAAGTGACAATAGAGATTACTATTGTGTGTGGTGTGGAGGTTCAGTGGACATGAAGAAATGGTCTTAAATAATGGTAGTAATTTATATCTTTAGATGTATCTGAGTTACACGAGTGTATTTATTTGTCAAAACTCAGTGAATGCACAATTGACCTTTGTGCAATCGCATTACATGATTTAAAAAAAAAGAAAAGAAGCTATAAAATTATCTTGAATACTACTTCCCAATATACACATTGAAATGATCAGGGGGGAACATATGTGTGAAATTAATGTTGAA